AAAGTGAGCCTGACATTCTGTTGGGCCTTCACATTTAAAGCATTTACATAACCCTAAACTGCATCGGAACAGGATTTGTTCACGTCATGCAAGTAGTCACATTTGTTTTCAATTTAACTTTCAGTTTTGAAAGATACTGCCATTCTGTATAAAATTGGGAGTTGGGAGTTATCTTCTTTTAGTACTTTACATTTCTAGATCTATTGAAATTCCACTCATTATTTAAAATCCTCCTACAAAGAATAACTCAAGTCTGAAGAATAAGAATAAGGCCTTTTTTTTTTTTAATGAAATCAGGAATACCTTGATTCCAAAACTGGCAAGAGCATTACAAAAGGGGAAAATCATCACTGTTATAAACTTGGATGCAAAAATCCTTAATAAAATATTAGCAAAAGATGTGTGTGTGTGTGAAAATACAGTGCCAAGGTGATGAGAGAGGTCATTTTAAGCAAAAATCAAGTTCAAATCATAATGTATGAAACAATGAGGAACAAAGAAGATAAAGAGGAGACAGACTTAAGAGATGTTTAGGATGCATAATCAGTATGGTCTGGTGAATCACTGAGGGGCAGGGAGATTAGAGGTAGGGAAGAGACTAGAATGACTTTCAAGATTTTCTGGTTTGGGTAACAGAGAGAACAGTGGTCCTAGACTACAGTAGGACAAAAAACATCTTAGAGAAACTAATGGGTTACATTTAGACACCTCGAAATACCTTCAGATATTCAGAAGATTGCCAAGTTCTGTCAATTCTACCTTCTACATATCTCTTGCCCAGTCTTTCATACCTGGTCACATCTTATCTGGAACACAACTGCTCAAGAGATTTGCCCCACTCTCCTCTGTAACTTCACTCTGCTACCAAAGTGATCATGGTAGTGACTATGGTTGTGTGTGTGCTGGTGAGGCACACTTATGGGAAACACCAAAAATAATGGGCAGAAGCTTAATGTATTCAGGCAGGCAGGAGGCCTGTCCTCTGAGCTGGCGGGGGCTAACAGCTATTGCTATTTAGACAGTTGAAGTGGGCAGCATATCAGTTACATATGGTAATTTACCTTTTTCCCAGCTTTATTAAGATAATTGATATAATATTGTGTAAGTTTAAGGTATGCAGTGTGATGATTTGATACATGTATATATTGTGAAATGAGAGTAATCTACTTTGACATTAGTAATTCCCAAGTACTAGAAATACAAGGGCTAACTGCCAGCACTGCTTATAATGACTTTTGAATTATGTTGGAGGTTTTTGGTCTCTTATGCCTACTTTTTATTTTCTTAACTTATTTTGAAACAATTATTCACAAGAAGTTGCAAAAATAGTACAGAGAGTTACCATATACCCTTTACTGAGTTTCTCCCATTGGTTACCTTTTATACAACAATATCAAAACCAAGAAATTGACATTAATATAGAATATGTATATAGTTCTGTGTTATTTTATCACATATATGTAGATTTGTGTAACTATCCACAGCAATCAAGATGCAAAACTATCCCACCACTACAAAGATCTCCCTTGAGCTGACCCTTTATAGTTGTACCCACCCCCTTCCCACCCACCATTCCTAACCCCTGGCAAATATCTGTTCCTTTTTTAACTTTATATCTAGGGAAGTGATTGAAAGTTGGACATAATTTTCTATGCTGTGATATAAATGTTCACACCTTAACGCAGAGCTTCCTTTGCTGCTCTCATTCCTTTCCTCTAAACCACTGTATCCAACTCCTCTCCACCTGCCCATTCCCTACCAATTCCTGAAGATTAAAGAACAATAATACATAATAATTACTTATGTTTACTTCTCCCTTTCTTGATATTTCCCTGCTTCATATTCCCAGCACATATTGTCCAGACCACTAATATTTGTCACCAATTCTCTTGTGGAATCTTGTATTTTTCTATTACAAAATTATTAATTTTTAAATATGTGTATTCTTTTCTCCTTCAGAAGAGACTGTTTTGTACTGCATATGACTCCATTGCCGATGCCTAGCAAAGATGAAAGCAATGATTAATTTTAAAAATACTTTTTCTAGGGGGGAGGAAAAAAACGGCATAGATGATAGGGCTCTACTCATCCCTCTGGCAGCCAAATCAAAGCTGTGATGGAAACAAGGAGCAAGCAGCAAGGAAAAATTGCCTAGTAGATAGATGAACAAGCCATACAACTAGGGAGAAATCCAAGAAAGCATCCTGCAACAGCAGAAGGTAGGACAGGGCAAGGACACAGGGCTGCCCATTCCCGAGCAGCTGAGTGAGACAGAGGCTGAGGCAGCGGCAGCAGCAGAAGCCTCTTAAAGGGGCCGTGTCCACAAGCAGAATTTTGTGGTGATGGATCTGCTGGCTCTGAGTACCAGTGCTGATTCGGCTGTGCACAGGGGGCACCAGGAACTTACAGGGAGACATTGTCAGAGTGAGGGCCAAAGCGAGACTCGCTCTGTATAGAAGTGTCAGTGATATCCATTTTTCCCTGTTGAGCTCTCCCCGCTCCCAGTGCACGGACACAGTGCCGCCATATCCCTGATGTCATCAAACTGGATAACAGAGGTCACTCCACCCAGAGGATTCCCTGAAACCCCACCTCCCCCAACTCAGCACCCCACCCAAATCACATCCAGGTATATCCTCAGTGAGTCAGGTGCTCCTTGCTGAGACGTGCCAAGACTCACACTGGAAGCAGCTGACCTTGGTTTCTGGTGTGGCCTTTTGAGACAAATATAAACACAGCATTGAGGATTGCTTGCTGAATCTTAACAGGTGGCCCTGGAGGAGCAGTGGCTTGGGCTAAATTTGGCCTGCAGCTAAACTCCTCTCAGGACTGTGCCACTGGACACCTACTTCACAAATCTACACTAATAAGAGCAGGGGAATTAGGTGCTTTGCTTAGTACATAGAAACAGACATAGAAAAGCAGCCAAAATGGGAAGACAAAGAAGCAGAAACCAAAGGAGAGAACAGAACAAAGATCCAGATATAATGGAGTCAAGTAATCTAACAGATGCAGAGTTCAAAATACTAAGACGCTCAATGAATTTAGGGGAAATGTAGATGAATTCAGTGAGAACTTTAACAAAAAGATAAAAAACATAAAAATGAAAATGGAAATTATAAAAGGGAACCAGTCAGAAATGAAGAACACATTATCTGAGATGAAGAGTATATTGGGGGGAATCAACAGAGTGGATAAAGAAGAGGATCGAACCACTGACATAGAGGATGGGGAAACCAATCAGAATGGCAAGAAAAAAAAAGAAGCCAAGACTATAATGATAATTTAAAGAGCCTATGGGACACAGTAAAATGTAAAAATATTCATGTCATAGGGGTACCTGAAGAAAAACAAGATGTTGAGAGCTATTTGAAGAAATAATGATGGAAAACTTCTCTTACTTGGTAAAGGAAATAGACATACAACCCCAGGAAGCTCAGAGAGTCCCAAAAAAGAGGAACTCAAAGAGGCCCACATCAAGACACATTATAATTAAAATGCCAAAGGTTAAATACAAAGAGAGAATCTTAAAAGCAGCAATAGAAAAGCAGTTAGTTACCTACAAGGGAGAACCCATAAGCCTGGCAGCTGATTTCTCAAAACAAACTACACAGGATAGAAGGGCTTGACACAAAATATTCAACCTGATGAAATCCCAGACAAAAATAAGCTAAAGGAATTTATCAACACCAAGCCAGTATTACAGGAAATGTTGGAGGGACTTCTTTAAGAAGAAAAAACATATACCAAAAACAGGAATAAAGAATGGTAACAACTACAATAAGTATCTTAAATGGAAAGAATTAAGTGCTCCAACCAAAAGATAGAGTGGTTGAAAAGATTAAAAAAAAAAAAAAAAAAAATACCACCCCTACATATGAAAAGGAAGGGATTGGAAAAAGATATTGCTTTGATAGACTTAAAAGGAATTTAAGTCAGACAGAGAAAGATAAATACTATATGATTTCACTTATATGTGGAATCTAAGGAATAAAAAGAACAACTAATCAAAAACAGACTCACAAATATAGTGGACAATTTGGTGATGGACAAAGGGGAGGGGACTTTGGGGGGCTGGGAGAATGGGGTGAAGGGTTAAAGAAGTACAAATTAGTAGCAGATGGATGGTCACAAGGATGGGGAGCATGGCATAGGGAATGCAGTTAGTATTAATATGTTGGCTAGGTGGAAGGTCAGGGGAGGAAGGGAGCAAGCAGGGGGTCATTTTATGAACTATATAGATGTCTAACCAACGTACTGCATACTTAAAACTAATTAAAATAAATTTTTAAAAAATTGAAAAAAATACTGTTTCCTAGATACTAATGTATTTTATAGGCTTTTTCTTTAGAAGAGCTCAAAATAGATTAAAGAGGTTACCCCAATATTCCTGACAGCACTTCTATGCAGTTTATCAGTATCATTATTATCTTCCTGGAATCTAATACAGCACTAGTTTAAACATTCAATCTCTATTCACATGACTGAATTATCCTATGCTCAAACTTAGGGAAATTAGAGGCTTTAAACAAGATTAGTAATCAATACTGAATCACCAGTTGTGGTTAGGAAAGAGGCGACGGAAGAAGAGAAAATGGAGGTGTAATGGGGACAGAAGAGAAGTAAAGAGATAAGGATGAGGACAAGTACACTCAAAACTTAGAACTGAACTTCTGAATGTCAGAAGGACTAACAAACCCAAGTCAACACATTCTGTCATGTGTATCTGGCTAGAGGCACCATTGTTGAAGCAAAGCCTGATATAACCCAGTGTTTTGAGAGGGAACTGTGGCCAACTAATTAGAGTATGGGAGATAGAAGGTAGAGAAGGGGATGAGGAATTCCTGAAGGTGCTCTATTAGCCAAGCTGAGCAGCATCCTGGTCCCTCAATGCGGGATGCAGGAGTGGGGCTAATAATTCCACTTGCTGCTCTTTCTCTTCCAGATCATTTCATTATGTAGTTGAGACTTAAGCATGAAGACAAATAATAATTACTTACATGAGAGGCTGTAGACCATACTAACTGGCAAACAGGTCCAGGAGTAGTAATAAAACCAATTGGTTTATAATCCTTTTCCACGTCAAAGAAGAAGACAGTTTTATCTTTACTCTAAGAAATTGAGAAATGCCCACCAAATACATATTATGAAATCTATTACACAGAGTAACGAAACATTTACTAGCTACAGTTTATCCACCATACACTTATACCTATAATGGTCGCATATCCCAAGTTATTCTGGGAAAGTTCTTATTTCAAATATTTACTTCATTCTCCCCATGAGAACACTTGATAAATCATGTATTCCAGTATGTGGTTCTGAAAAAATCATCATCATATCTTTACATAAGATTATTTCAGAAAAAATGCATATGTTCACCTATTAATGCACTGAGAATTTACCTGGTTATTCGATTCATTTATTGAAGTTCTATATGTATATACCTACACTATAAAATATCGATTATACATAAAACATCTTGCATGATTCTCAGCTGAAATTTTCTATCCATTTAAAATAAGTGTTAGAACTCAATTTGTAAGAATATTTGTAAATATCATGCATAGACTACACTAAAAGAATATGACTACAAAGAAAGCAAAATATGGATATGTTCTCAGATAGGAGTATCAACAAATAAGGCATCATTAAATAGGAAGACTAATAAGAGGCTAGGTTAACCATGAAAGTTCAACAGGAAACAAAAAGAAATCTACTACTCACCCCTGTGGCTAGAATTTCTCCATCACGTTCATAAGCTAAAGCAGTGATATGAGCAGTATGGGGTTTGAAAACATATTTCAAATGAAGATCTGCATCCAAAAATTTCTTCCGTCCTGCAAAAATTGTGAGCCCTTTTGGATCATAAAGTTCAAGAATTCGAACAACCCCATCTTCGAATCCAACAATAATCTGTGCTCCAGTGTAGCTTATCTTGAACAAAAATTAAATACAAGGGATCTGAAATTAGTTAAGAAAGTTTTCCTACATAATAGATACCTCTGTATTTTATTTAGACTTAATTTAACATAGACTATCCATTGGTAATTCCTTGTACTACTTTCTGGTAACCTCCATCTATTCTAGGACAGATCCTATCACTGCTGACTATGAGACAGGTACACTATGGCAATTCAAACACTCGATGAGCAAATGTGGGTGGAGTGTCTGTCTCTCATGTGACAGGCATCTATCACCAGCAACCCAAGTGTGAGAATAGTCTCAACCTGTTTTCACAGAATTAATAGTCTAATGGGGATGACAGACATTAATCAATCACACAAATAAGTGTGGAATTATGAACTGAAATAAGTAGTAAAAGATACATATTCTGAGAGCAAATAACAAAGAAAGCTGATCTAGCTGACCCTCCTTAAAGAAGAGATGGTGGAGCTGAGATCAGAGGATGCCCAGGAATTAACAAAGTACAGGAAGGTGGGGGAAGCACTCCTCGGAGAGGATATAGCTTGTGCAAAGGTCATGTGGCAGGAAAAAAAGCAACTCATGAAAAAGTTATAGTTTGTCTAGAGCAAATTGAGTGAGGGAGCAGTGCTTCCACAAGGAGCTGGAAAGGGAGATAAGCAGGCACCAGGTCACAAAGTGGCTTACATGTCACATTAGGGATAGTCTTCATTCTGAGAGCAGCAGGAAGTCATTAAAAGGTTTTTAGTTGGGGGTTGGGAGTAGGGAGGTCACATGATCAGATCTGCTATTTCAGAAAAGTCATTCTTGCTGCCATGTAGAAAGTAGGTCTGACATGGCCTAGATAGGATGCAAGGAAAGCTTTTGGGAAGCCTTTGAAGAAATGGCTGCTATACTCTGGAGAGTGATTGTAGTCACTTGGTCTGAGGTGATGTAGTGAAGATGATGGATATAGACATATTTTAGTAAGAAGTATAATAACCCTATTTGGTAATAAGTGGGCATGGGGGATGAGGCAGAGGGAGGTGTCAAGAATGACTAAAACATTTACTGAGACAGGAAACTCTGGAAGGGAGTCAGGTATACATGTGGTTTGTTGTTGCTATTGTTTTAGAGTGAGGGGTAGCTGGGAGTGAGCAGAAAATCATGCATTTAGTCTTGGACATGTTGAGTTTGAGGTGCCCTAGAGATCTCAAAATAGAGATGACATATAACCTGCAGCTTAGAAAAGAAGTCTGGGCAGAGATATAAACCTAGCAATGTCTGAATGTACTAAATCTTTAGTCTTAAAAGGCATTCAGGAGAAGAACAAAATCCCTATTATTCTTTAGAGCCGAGTGATCATCCCTGAGGCCAGGCAATTATGAAAATCTTGGGAATAAGAAAACTACACTACATTCAATTCCAGTTGAATGTTGTTAATTCAACAAACATTTACTAAGTGTCTAATGTACCTGTAACTGTAGAGGCACTGGAGGTACAAAGAATAGTTATGGTTGTCACATGAAGAGCAAACAGTCAGATGGAAAGATAGACAATAAAGCAAATAATCTTAGTATGCTGTGATAAGTGCTATAAGAGGGGTGTATGCAAAGTCTTTAAAAAAAAACATGAATAGCAGAGGAAGGAGTACTTAGCTCTGTTTGAAGGTGAGGTCACAGAGGGCTATGCAGAAGAGATGATGTTTGACCTGAGCTGAGTTGTAAAGAATGATGCGGAGTTTTCCAGAAGGCAAGAGAGCATTGAGAAGGGGCATTTCAAGTCTAATATAATTTGATATAAGGCTGAAAAAGGAAATAGTCTATGGACATCACACAACCATCTGAATAAATGATTCAATTACTTAGGCTGTATTTTAAAGACTTCAGGTAAGAGTGTAAATAAATTAGGATAAAGAGTAAGCCAGGTTTGGTAGTCTGCTCTGTGCTTTCTATTTGTTCTAGCCTCATCATTGTTCCACCTCTATTCTCTGGCCTGAATTCTCCTTCTGGTCTTGTTCCCATTATGAAATTCCCCTCCAGTCCAGCCATCTCCATATCGATTTTGAGCCTGAAACATTTTCTCTTTGATTTCAACTCAAAATGGTAAGGATAAAACATTCCCAAAATACTCCCAAGACATTTTAAAAACATGACTTCAAATTCTTTGACATGCCTCCCATGAAGAGATGGGGTTCAAGTGCCCCCTACTTTGAATCTGCTTCACCCAGTGGATGGTAGAAGTGACGTTATGTGACTTCTACCACTGAGAAGGCCAGCAGCTTCTGCCTGGTTTGTTAGAACACTAGGTCTTGGAGCCCTGAGCTGCTGTGTAAGTGTGTGACTACCCTGAGGCCAGAATGCTGTGATGAAGCCCAAGCCACACGGAGGCACTATTATGTAAGGACTCCTGCTGACATCCCAGCTTAGCCCAGCCTTCAACACAAGTACCAGACTTGTAATACAGAAGCCTTTAGATGATTCCAGGCCCCCACCCTCCAAGTGGTCCCAGTTGAGACCCCAGACACTATGAAGCGGAGATAACCCATCCCTGCTGCCACCTGTCTTGATTCCCAATCTATAAAATATATGAGCAAAATAAATTAATTGCTGTTTTATACCACTACATTTTGAGGTAGTTTATTACAGAGCGATAATTAGAACAACTCCATCTCTGCCTAATTTTTTCCCATGGCTCTTATTATCTAACGTATCACATATTTTACTTATTTTATTTATTGTCTGTCTCTGCCTTCTGTCTCCCACTAGAGTGTAAGATGTGTGAGAGCAAGCATTTTTGTCTTTTTGCTCATTTGTGTTCCCAGAATCAGAAACAAGGCCCAGCACCTCATAGGTATGCTGGAACTAGAAATGTAATGAATGAAATCACAGTCAAAGGAATAGAGGACAGATTCACAAAGTTCTATTGGTTGATTACTGTGTAACATGGAACTACTACTAATCTGCAGGTGGTTTAAAAATAGATTTTCATTAAATCAGGACCAAAACCATAACAATAGCAAGGTCATGATGATGTCTACCACATTCTAAGTGAATAAACTGACTTAAAATTTTTATTCTTCTCTAAAATCCAGAGTCAGAAAATGTCTATATTTCCAAGAAACGGCACTGACATACTATATCTACTAATAGAATCTGGGAGAAGTTCATTGTAATAAACTTACCAGTCGGGGTACCCAAGCAAGAGCAGTACCTCCTTGTTTGAATTTCACATGAGACAAAGGAGTTTTGCTAGCAAAATCATAGATTCGAATAGAACCTATAGAAAGACAGTTTTAAAAGAAACAAATGTATACATAATCCCTTTTTAAATAACTTTGGCTCACTTTACATATTGAGAATTATAATAAGAAATTTCTTAAATAACTAAATCAACTGATAATCCAATAGCCCTTCTTTAGTCAAAAATTTCTATGGATACCTTCAATCATTGATAAACATGAATAAAACATGAAAAAAGAACATGAAAAAAGTCATTGGAAATTGATAAACATGAATAAAAAAGACAATTGATGATTGCCTGGTGTATCTATTTCTCCTTGCATGATCCCCATAGATTCGGCATAAGAAAAGAGATGGAAATAAAAAGAAAAGCACAAATGTGGATAATTTTCATGAATGACTTACTGTGTCCTTATTTTAATCTCACTATAACCACAGCTGGTACATTTTGTGCCCTCTCCCTTCCACGAATACTTGCCTCACTTGCACTAAGAGGCTTCCCTTTTGGAAAAATGTTCAAATGCTTTCAATCAAATACATAAAAAATGTGTTGAAAACAAAACAAAAAGGCCACATATATTGTCATTAAGAGTTCTTACTTACAGTCCAAGCCAGTAGTGGCCATGAGGTAAGTGATAGGCGAGACGACCAAGGCTTCGATGGCTCCAGAATGGAAGTGGAAGAGGCATTCTGGATCTTGGGTCTGTAATAAAAAGACAGAAATTCCAACAGATGTCAAAGAAAAGTTAACATAGAATTAAGGTCAAGTTTAAAGAAATGCAAATAAAACTCTATAACATATGTATGATTTTTATCTGATTAGAACTTTTAAAAAAAGCATAATAGGTTAGAAATAATGCTAAACTTTGGAATTAGGAGAAGTAGAGTACTGGCTTTGCAGTTGATGGCTGTGTGATTTTGCACAAGCCACTTAGACTGCCAGTTCTCGTTTCTTCATCAGTAAAATGAGATGACAGCAACTGCCTGTCTATTAAACAGGGTAGCGATGAGATTATAAATGCAAATGGCTTATGTTTATGAAAACTGTAAAGCACTATATAATGTTAGCCACTGTTATTGCCACTTTTCTGGTAATTTTTGCTATGAGATAGGCCTTTAATGTAAAAAAATCATTACAGAGAAAATATGAATTCTCATGAATCAGATATATTGAGCAAGTTTTTGATGGGAGCAATGATCAAATATGGAGATAGATAAAATATCTTTTAAGTAAGAATAACAAAGATTTTAATTATGAAAATTAGAAAAAAATAAGAAAAATAGGCAACTTACGATATTTGAAAAACTAAGGTCAAGCTTCCATATGGCTCCATTGGCATCCTGAAAAATTAAATGCCTAATAATATTTTGTTTTATCATTTTGAACTTATATCAAATTAAAATAATTTTCTTCCTATGATTTAAAGTAAGGGCAAACAATAATACCAAAAGCTTACTTGTATTTTAAAGTGCAATTGATGAAAGCAACTTCTGTATATCTTAGAACACAACCATACAATAAGTGAAGCAATCTTGTTATACTTATAGTTAAAAATAATTAAAATGTTCCTAATAGGTTTTTTGTGTATAAAATATAGGTTAATTAAAAATTTAGGAAGTCTTCATTCAGGTATCAATAGTAGTCTTAATAATAAAATGAACTTACAGTAATGATAACTTATTATTTTAGTGCCCTCCCCATCTATAAAATGATATTATATTATTTTAGTTTTGTGTCCAGATAACTTTAAAAGAGCAAAAAAAGAAGAATGCAACTCACTTGAGCCAACCAAAAGTTATGTCCAGTTTCATTCATTTTTATCATAGAGAAGAGTTTGACATTCTTGTCTACTTGAAGTTCATTAATGGGCTCAATCTCTATCAATCCAGACTCATCTATAGCATCAGCAGTGTCTATGGTCTCAAAATCCCAAATCTTATAAAATTAATAAGAAAATACTTCAATCATACGGCAGTTTCTGAATTTATATTTTCTAAGCCAGAAAAGAAATACAAAGCAATTTCTTTATATTTACAGAGATTTGTGACTAAATACAGCTATAAATAAGAATTCTAATTTGTCCAAAGAAATCTGTATTTCAAGGTCTTTCTGCACATAGAGTGGCCATAGGAGTAGATGGTTTGCTTGTTCAATAAGACATCATAATAAGCCTTGTTTTATATATACTAGTTAGCCCCTGGAAGGGGGAAATAGACCTTCTTGCTTAACAATTCAAGCACTACCTTAATTATAAGCAGAGAAAGTATAGATGATGTCTTCATCAGAAAATGTTTCTCTTACTTATCAATTTAAACTGTACTATTCAGATAAGGATTGTTGTTCTTGGGATAGGAGACCTGCATGCTACAGGATGGTTGAAGGAACACATTTCCACCTCGCATGACAGAGAGACCCAGATGGACCTTTCTCTGTGATGTGCCAAAGCCCACTCTGGATGGTTCTGTTGACACACCCTGCCACATTGTCCTAGACTCAATAACTTAGACTCTGAGAAAGTAACTTCAGGGAGGATTGGTGTTGTCCCATAGATTAGCCTTGTGGACAAGAGGCCCAGGTCCCAGGGCCCAACTAACACCTGGTAGTTGGGATAAGTTTTTCCTACAGCATGAGAGCTAGAGATTTACAATGTAAAGAACTGTAGAGATGAGAGTGGACTGTGAAAAGGAAAGTAAGCTTAGAAATCAGCAGTGTCCGTGAAAGGTGAAGGGGTCCTCTGTGAAATATTTAACTTCTCTTGAGGATTTCTTCCACTGGTATTTTGACATTTTGGGGTAACATATCTTGGAATGATTATGAATTTATTGTATGATATAATAAAGGACACAAAAGATTCTCAGAGTAATGAGTAAACTCTAACAAGATTAAATTTAATTTGGTAATTGTAAAAAAATTATACTTAGGTTCAAAAAGCCAATGGTAAGAGGGCAGACTGTGGGAGAGATATGGCCTAAACAATGTATTAGACATATTAAGCTCAACTAGTGTCAACTTAATGGGCTCATTAAGAATGACCAGGATATTAAAAAAAAATAGTCTTTTTTCTGATAATACTTCTTTTTTTTTCTGATAATACTTCTTAAAGAATATCCAGAGAACACTACCACTTACAAAAGGCCCCAGAAGAAATACATCCAAGGGGACCACATGACAAATCAGGACGCTCCAGATTTGCTAGCAATAGCAGGGTACACATGCAGAGGTGTGGCCATAACAAGGGAGATTTAGATGCTGAAGCAACATTCCAGCTTAGCTAACGCTATGGGCAGAAGAGTGAGGACAAGTGAGTTTACTCGTATAAGGTGCAACGAGGCAGAACCGTCCATAGGCAAACCCTCTCAGCTCGCCTTTGAGTATATTTCTGATCAGTAGCCCCAGTAAAAATAACTAAGAAATGTTTAGCATTTTTGTTCCTAGAAAATGACCTATTCGTATAAGGCATTTTGGAAGGATATCTGTGACCACTGTTTATATTGTGCTAACATGGGCTTTCTTTTGAAACTACTATTTCAACAGCAGAATTAAAAAACAAATGGTCCCCTCAGAAAATTTTGATGCTGAGATACTATAAATTAATTTTGACTAGAATTCAAATATTTACAAGAGAAGCATTATTTAAAATGAGTCAGCCCTAGGACTAAATGACCACTGATCTTCTTCATAAAATAAACTTTGTGAGAAATAAAAATCTGATAGAACCAACTAGGTGATTCTGCAAGGCTTAGATGTGGGTGCTACTGTCTAAGTATCAAGAAAACTTACCCTAATGCATCCATCTGACCCGACAGTGATAACTTCACCCTCATCCAGCATTATCTGGTTGATGGGACCCTGATGACAACTTATATTTCCAGCTCGACAGAGCTCAACTTTGATGAGGCCAGCTTCCCAAACCAGCATGTTGCCCCATTCTGATCCTGAGAGAACCTTGCAGGTGTGCAGAAAGGAAGGAATGTGCATTAAAACAGACAAATACATATATTTATGCCTCAAATAGCAGGTGAGAATTATTTTTAAAGATTATTTTCTTGACTATGAAAGTAAAACATGTTAAATACAGAGAAATAAAATATAGAAATGAAAACTCACTACCATAGAAACAACTACTAATCACATTTTTTATGTATTTCCTCCTAGTGTTATGTACTGTTGCCATTATTGTGACTAGGCTGTATGCCGCTAATAATTTTGCAAACATATCCATTATATATTTCTTTGAACATCTCTTAAGGAAATAATCCAAGAACGGAATCACTGGGTCAAACGTTAGAGGTATGTTTAAAATTCTTGATAGATGAGATTCAACTTTTTAAGTGTGATAATATGAACTGTTATGTTTGATAAATTGTGAGACCATTATTGAACTCAGAGATTACAGCATAACAATATCCAATTTTGAACAAGGATACTCATCTAGAACCACCTCCTGAATTAATCCATTGAATCCAGCACTTCCCAAAGTACATAGCACCGAAGACCAGTTCTTAGGCTGTTTAACAAGTGTTACCTACTAGGTAATACTAATGGAGTACTGACTCTGTGCCAAGCATTGCTGGAGCACTTTGCGTGCATTAAGTTATTTAATTCTAAAAACCATATAAACTTGGTATTTTCACTGCGGACGCCGTGTACGGTTGTGCAGGTTGGGCACTTTATTTTCCCAGAAGAGAGTTTTTCTCTTTGCACAAAGGAACCATATGGGCCAGTGGAAGCCCCTACTGTTTTCATGCCCATTTTACAAAGGGAAAAAATGAAGCATAGAACAGTTACTATCTTGCCCAAAATTACCCAGAGGAGTCAGGATTCTAAACCAGGCACTGTGGCTCAAAAGCTCCTGTTCTGACTACCACTGCCTCGGAAGACAGATGCTAGGATAAACAAAGTCAAACAAATGTATTTTCTCTAGGACCTCTTGGACACTGGAACACAAAATTACTCACTGAGCATCAAGAAGATTTTCTCGATATGAAGGAATTAGACCAAGAAAGTCTTATTTTCACAGAGCTTCTGTTTAGACTAACATTCCATGAAATGCTCCATGGGACACCAATCTAGTTCTTGGCAGCCTGCTCTAGGAGTCTGCATCCCCACCTCTCTCTCACTTAAAGTAACTTAGGACCTTAGTCTTTTCTGCCTCTTTGTTTTCCTATTCTTATCTATTCTACCTATTTTACCGATTATTAAGCTCCAGCCAACATGTAGTGGAGTCTTTATTTATATTTGGTTTCTCCTGTCCAATGACTAAAACCACCAAAAGTCACCAAAGCCTATAAGGCATTCCTTTCTGAAATGTCATTCATGTCTAACTTTCCTCTTCTATTTGTCCTGAAAAAAGTCTAGGACTTTATTGCCTCTTCTTAGAATAAAGCAATATGTTCCTTCTTAGCTCATTTCCTTGACTCCAGGTTTCCCTTTTAATTTGCGTGGCATTTTGTGGTCAAATTTATTGATAACTTCTCTTATTTACAACTTTACACTTCCAAAATATAATAGTTTTGCCTGGTTGTTATACTCTTTGTACACTAGGACCCAACCATACTTCTCATTCTAATTTCCTAGCATGAATGCTTTATTCTAATTAGCCCTCTAAATACCTGATATTCGTTTCTAACACTAAACATTTCCTTTTATGTCTCTCTTATTTAAAAAGGCTTCTTTTCTCCCCTACATCCTCACAAACTCTACTGAACCTTTTTAAGATATATCTCATATCATGTTTTTAATGAGAGTTGTATTATCTTTATTTTAGCTTAATTCTTACAGTATTCGGAATTTGAAGGTGGAATGATTTACAATCATCTTATAGGTTTGGATATATTATAGGTTAGCCAGCATCCAACGCTTATTTTCTCCTATATGTCATGATTTCAAATTGAGACTATCCCAGGAGGTAGAAGACTAGACCATTTGGTTCCTCAGAGTAATATTTGTATGCTGGCCTTTACTTATGATTGAGATGGTCACAAATAATATTACATAACTCATCCCAATAGGAAATCAAATACAATATTAATGGAGAACTGATTCTATAGTCAATATGTCTATAAATTTTGTAAGAGGAAGAGAGGGAGTAAACTAACAATATTAAAGAATAAACCAACAGATTAAAGTTACAGGTTTAAGGTGTTATTGTAAAGTAGCTCAATCTTGCTGAATAACAATCTGATAATAAAAACAAAAGCCACAAGACAGAATATAACTTGAGCCTAGTAAGTCTTCTTGAAGCATCACAGCACAGAAAACACGGGAGAAAAATAAACATTACAAACATTGTAACTCCATGACATAATTAAAAATGATAAGTATGTCACTATGTTAATATAAGAAAATGTTTGTATACTTTATATGTGTGTATAATATTTAGTAAAAATAACATAAAATGATATGTACATGTGGGTTATAACAATTTCATAGAAATATATTCAAATTGATTATTTGAAAAGGCAAAATTAAATGTCCATTATATTCACAGTTATAGTATCTCTTATTGCTAAGATTGACAGTGCTTTTTAGAATGTATAATGTGCTTTCATATGTGTATGTCACTTGAAAACAATTTTATTATTGTAGAATAGTGGCTATATTCACCTTCCCATCTGGGAGCTCCATATAACCTTCTATATCAGTAGTGGCTGTTTTGCCAAATCGACCTAATGAACCCTGAAGCTTGAGACCAGTGAATGTTAGAGCCATTTCCCAGAATCTGCAAAACACAAGAGTGAACATACCTCAATGACTTTTTAAATTTTAATATGACTCAAGAATTTACATATTTCGTGGTCACATATATTTCATTTATTCATCTATCTGATTTATATGTATAAAGTATCTACTCCCTTTCAGGCAAAGTTCTAGGTAATATGAATTCAGCATTGAGCAGAATGTATTTTAGAGCTGTGCTGTTGTAAGCAGGAGCCATTAGCCAGGTTGAACTATTTTAATTTAAATTAAATAACTAAAATTTAAAAGCCAGTATTTCAGTGAAGCCAGTCAGTTTCAGGTGCTCAATAGCCACATGTAGATTGAACTGCACAGAACATTTCCACCCTGGCATAAAGTTCTACTGAATAATAATGTTAAGAGGATGTAAAAGTTTTCCCAAAAATTCCAGTTTACTTGTGTAACTTTAAGTGATTTTCTTGATCACACTGTGCCTTCATTTTCTCATATATAAAATGGGAACACTAGTAGCACCCATCTCATAAAATTGCTGAAAAACTCTTAGAACAGTGCCTACCTAGCACATAAAAGCAATCAAATGATGTTAGCTATTACTAACACTTTCTTATTAATAGTCTAAATGAATGTACAGTCAGAATGATGAAAACCATGTAGAAAAAGAATCTGGCCTGAATACAGATAATAAAAGGTATTGACATGACAATAACATGAAGTCAAAAGCCTAGATGACCAACATCCTTCTCTGAGACTACAGTAAATCTCCTGATCATTTGTTTCCATATACTCTGTATTTCTTTTATAATAGCTCTTCATACATGAAATTGTTCAATGTTTATCTTTCCCCAAAGATACAGTGCACAGAAAATATGCACTTTACTAAATGATGGGAAAATGTAAGAAAATGGAAATTTATAGCCTATAACTAGCAGAGAGTTACTTGAGCATTTCTCCAACATTGCATTTAAAAACCTGTTCAATTATTCTATATTTCTAATGAATGAATAAGATGAGGTTTCATTGAAATAAGAGAAATGTAGGGTAGATACAATCATCTTTCATAAAGAGACACTAGAATCAAGTTACGGGGCAGCTTGAGGGTGGTGGTAGAAGCTTGTTAACAAATGCATTAGACAGAATGGAACAAAAATAAGGACAAAATCATTCCATCCTGGACATCGACCAGGGTATGATATAGTGAAAAAGATGTGGAATTTAGAGCCAAAGCCCTGATATCAAGAGTCAGCTCTGCTACCATTCAGTATTAAGGGATCTGTGTCAGGAACGATTCTGTGGTAATTGTTTTAAAAAGAGTTCAGAGATGTCAAAATGCCTTATCCATCATACAATATTGCTATGGACAACACATTTAATAGTGAATTTGAAAGCTCAATATGAATGTGGAAACACCATGCCAATGTTAAAAAGACATTATACAAACTCTTTTAGGAAATGAAGCCTCCAGAAGGCAGCAGGCTAAATTTGAAAGTCCTTCTATCTGTGTGGTCTGCAGTAATAAATCCCCATATCAAATTAGAAGAGCTACTCTACCAGTTAACTTTAAAAAGAATAATTTAAAAACTATCCTACTGTTAACGTCAGCAAAATGGCTCCAGCTGGTCCATCTTCTTAGACAATACCCTTAGGATAACCTACTAGTACCTGTATCAGTCAAACAACCTACTTGATGTGGCCTGATCCCGACGTAGTAAGCTGCTCATCATTGTCAGGATTGAAAGTAACCTTAAAAACCTCCTGGGAAAAAGCTTTGGTCCTCAGTATAGGCTGTTCTTCTTTCCAGTTCCAGATGGTCAGTGTGTGATCAGGGTTGCCACCAATAGAGGCCAGCAACGTCCCATCGCAGTTGAAGTCCACATAAGCATAGGCCAGGTCAGTCCCATCTGAAAGGTTGAATGTGAGTCTAATGAACAGGGGCAACATTTATTTCATTTTCAAAAGAGTTTTTAAAGAAAAGAAAACAGGAGTAAGAGAGAATGTGCTCCCTTGATGTGGTGAATTGATGGAAGACTGCCAAGAATCTTCTAAAAAAATAATTCTAAAATCATTCATCACCCTTGGCTTTACAAAGCATCGCATGATATGAGGTGGGAGGGTGAATGAATCTTAATCATATTTTGCATGAGCAAAACACATTGAAAATATATTCCATTGTACACAGTGAGGGAGAGGACACAAAAAAATTTAGCAAAAAGAAATCAATCTAAATTTAAAATTTGCCACTGGAAAAAAAAATCACAAAATAAAAATTGATGACTTCGAGTTTCTGGTTACACATGTAAGGAGCTCGTCCTAAGAACATGACCCTGTCCTAACACCAAGTTAAAAGTTGAACAGACTGAAAAATTACTTCTTCTTGAATACATAAGAGAGGGAAGGACACAGGGCAAATGGCTATTCCCAAAACTGAGACCTACTGGCAAATACAGGGATGTGCAACTTACCGGAACAGAGACTCAAGGACAGGAACAGCTGAAACAGCGGAGAGAGCCAGTACTGGGAGTAGTAAAACTTGAACTGTCATTGATGAATTGCTGAAGGGTCAGTGTGAACAAGTCTGAGAGTTAAAACCTCCAAAGGGACCCCATAATAAGGTGGCCCCAATAATATTGTGCGATTTACCTCCAAGATCTTGACCAGGTTCCTATAGCAAGTATCTAGAAAAAATTCGCTTGGGCTTCCATCAGGGGGAGGAGAAAAGGAGCAGTTCGGAATGTCACAGAATACCTTGTTCTTCTTCATAAGCCCTGCCCTCAGGAAAAACTGATTAACCAGAGTCTATACTGTGGGGTATTATGGAAATGTAACTGGCATGGGGAAGGAAATACAGGCATATTCATTTCATTGAGCTTTGCTTAATGCACTTCACAGATGTTGTGCTTTTTACAAATTGAAAACAAGCCCTCTACCAACAAAAAGATTACAACTCGCTTTATTGCAATGTTATGGAACCAAACCCACGATATCTCCAGGGTATGCCTGTATCTAACTCCAGCCCACTCAAGCCATCTTGTCCCACCCAAAGAAAGAGAAAAATACTGAAAAACATTTATGAAGTTCACAGTCCAGAAGCATAGGTTCAATAAAATGTTGAGACCTAATCACAAGACTATAAAACACTTTCCCTCCTCCCACTACTTACCTCCACATTACTAAAGTCCTATCTACACTTCCTTTTACCCAGTACATCACATCTGGCTATCAAGAAAAAAATTATACAGCATTCCAAAAGGCAAAAAACACAATTTGAAGAAACAGAGCAAGCATCAGATCCAGACATACTAGAGATATTGGAATTATCAGATCAAGAATTTTAAACAACTATGATTAAAATGCTAAGGGCTCTAATAGAGAAAGTAGAGAACATGCAAGAATTAATGGGCAATGTAAGCAGAGAGATGGAAATCCTAAAACAGAACCAAAAAAAGAGATGCTAGGGATAAACATACACACACACACACACACACACACACACACACACACACACACTAACAGAAATGAAGAATGCCTTTGATGGGCTTATAAGTAGACTGGACACAGCTGAGGAAAGAATCTCTGAACTAGAGGGTATCTTCACAGAAACCTCTAAAACTGAAAAGCAAAGAGAACAAAGTCTGATAAAAACAGAGCAGAATATCCAAGGACTATGGAATAACCACAAAAGGTATAACAAATGTGTAATGGGGATACCAGAAGGAGAGGAAAGAAAAGAACAGAGACATATTTGAAACAATAACAACTAAGAATTTCATCCAAATTAACGTCTGACGCCAAACCACAGATTCAGGAAGCTCAGAGAACAGTAATCAGAATAAATGCCCCCAAAACTACAGAAAATGAAAGATAAAAAAAAAATCTTGAAAGAAGCCGGAGAGAGAAAAAACACTTTACCTGCAGAACAAAGATAAGAATTAACTCAACTTCTCCTCAGAAACCTTGCAAGCAAGAAGAGAGTAGAGGGAAGGGATTAAGATGTACAAATTGCCAATTATAAAAACAGTAATGGGGATGTAAAGTACAGTTTAGGGAATACAGTCAATAATATTGTAACAACTATGTATGGTATCAGATGGGTACTAGACTTTGTAAGGTATTTAAATGTCTAATCGCTATGTCGTAGACCTAAAACTAATATAATATGGTATGTTGGGCTTCTAGTCAAGATGGCAGAGTAGGTAAATGCCGTGCTTGCCTCCTCTCACAACCACATCAAAATTACAACTAAACTACAAAATAGCCATCATTGAGAGTCGCCTGAAGTCTAGCTGAACAGAAGTCCTTCAACTGGGGGCACACAGAAGAGGCCACCTCAAGATTAGTAGGAGGGGCAGAGATACGAAACAGGCTAGTCTCACACCCACGTGTGGCACTTGAGAATCGAGAGAAATATCTCAGCTGCAGAGGTCCCCATTGGAAGAGCGAGGGGTCTCGGCCCCACAGCGGACTCCCCAGCTCAGAGCTCGAGTGCTAGGAAGAGAAGTTCCCACAACTTCTGGTTGTGAAAACCAGTGGAGACTGTGGCTAAGTGAGATGAAGGGCTGTGGGACTCACAGACTTTCCTCTTAAAGGGCCCACTTGCAAACTTACTCAATGACAAACTCAATCACTCTGAGCTCCAGCTCTGGGGCAGCAGCTGAAAAAGCACCAGGGACATACTGGGAGGAACTGAGTTGTCTGGCTTCATGGCAAGGGCTAGAGGGGTGGCTTTCTCCCCGACAGAAGTGCTGGCAGAGAGCATTGTTCCTTTGCTGAGCATCCCCGCCCAGCTTGCAGACTCAGGCATCCACCATATCTGAGTCTCCATCAATGTAGCTAACACTGGTCGCCCCGCACTGGTGATTGCCTGAGACCCCACTCCACCCAACATGCAGGCCCGCCCAAGCCAATTCTAA